TTGATGGATCCGAGGATCGCCTGGTTCCAGCCAGAGCAGCTCGGACCGTCCAACAGTCTGTGGATGCAGATCTGGGAGACGACCCAGGGGCTGAGGAACCTGTACTTCAACCACCACTGTCACAGCAGCGGCGGCGCGAGCGGCGGCGGCGGCGGCAGCAGCACGGCCACCGGCGGGAGCGGCAGCAGCACCGGCAGCCTCGGCGGCGCGGCGCCGGCCCCGGCCCCGGCGGGCATGTACCGCTCCGGGGAGCGCCTGCTGGGCGGCCACGCGCAGGCAGCGGAGTCCCGGGACTTCCTGCCCCTGGAGACGACCAACAACAACCACCACCACCACCAGCCCGCGGCCTGGGCCCGCCGCGCCGCCGCGGGCCCCTCGGCGTCCCTGTCCCCCTCGGCGACCGCGTCCCCGCACTCCTCGGCCGCTGTCCCCGCCGCGGAGCCCGCCGACCCGACCTCCGGCAGCAGCAACAAGCGGAAGCGCGACAACAAGGCCAGCACCTACGGACTCAACTACAGCCTGCTGCAGCCCGGCGCAGGGCGGGCCGCGGGGGGCGGCCGGGCGGACGGCGGCGGGGGCGTGTACAGCGGGACCCCGTGGAAGCGGAGGAACTACAACCAGGGAGTCGTGGGGTGAGTGGGGGCCCCGCGGCCTGGCGGCCTGGCTCTTGCACACGCGCAGCGGGGCACACGCCCACAGAAGGGGGCTGCGGGGGAGGGGCACGGGCTGGGCCACCCCCTTCGGCTGCCTTGGTTGCTGCTTCTCGGGGGCCCGATGGACACCCCTTCACGCCTCCACCACCCACACCTCGCCCTGAGCCCCCGTGACGGTCCACGCCTTGCCTCTCTTCCCCGCAGCCACACACGCCTTTCCTGGGCATCCCCTCGGTCACCCACGCTCCCCTCACCTCCCTTAGTCATCCACACTCTCCCTCTTAACCGGCCACATCTTCTCCGACCCCCCCCTTGACCATCCAGTCTTTCTTTCCATCCCCCGCAGCCAAACGCACCCTCCCCGGGTCCCCCTTCCAGCCCTGGCCACCTTGCTCCTATCGTCACACCCCAAGATGGGGTTGCTTAGCACGGGAAAATCATTCATTCCCCGAGAACGTTCCTCGGTTAGTGCCTTTTGGTGGAAGGACCTGGAGGTGCTTCCCTTGCCAAGAATAGAAACATCCAGAAAGCTCCTCCCCCTCCCCCAATCCCAAACAGAAATCGTCAGCCTTGTAAGGCTTGGCTTGCTGTTGACCCATCGTTTTTGTTGTTCTTTTTTTTATTTCAAAAAGAGATTGCTCGTCTTAGCGATGCCTTGTTCTGTGGGGAGTGAGGAATGGGGTGACAGCTAAGTTTAGGCTGGTAGAGATGGTGAGCTCGTCTCCTGAGGCGGATAGAACTTTCTAGGAGTTCATGGTCCTTGGCCCCAGCTTCTGTCTGGAAAGTTGTCCTCCTGGCAGAGACAGCCAGTGCTCTTCATTCTAGGGGGCAACTTTATGTTAATGAGTGAATGTTGCACCACTAATGACTGTTTAAAGTTCAGCTGTTGCAAAATGCCATTTTACCTGACCCCTTGTGAGCTGTGTACGTAAGCAAGGAATGGTTTCAGCTCGGTTTCCATTCTGGAAAAGCCCCTGTGCTGGAATAGGTTACTGAATCTTGTTTTGGGGCGGGGTGGGGGGTGGGGGGGGCATTGTGTGTGTGTGTGTGTGTGTGTGTGTGTGTGTGTGTGTGTGTGTGTGTGTTTACGCTGAGTATGGAGAATGAGCTTTCAAATTGCTTTTCATTTTTCAGACCCTGTTTAACAATGGGGGGGGTACGGCAGGCAAGTGAAATCACTATTTGTAATCCCCTGTGAAACCTTTTCTTAGATTCACTCATTCAGATCTGCCTGCTTTGGCAAGCAGAGACAGTTCTGTGTACCTTTCTGAAGGCCTGGGTGAAATGAGTTGGTGGGTTCCATCTGCTTGGAGTGGGCTGGTGTCTGCTATATGCTACTATTGCAGCTCCCCACCTTTTATGGAAAATGCGGTCAAGCGTTTTAGGACTGGCGCTGGGGTTCGCGTCAAACCTGCCTCACTCTCTGGAGGTGAACCTTGTAGGGTTGAGTCCTCTGTTGCTCAGCTTCAAGGGCGCTCTCCATGGTCATCGCATTTTAATAAAGGGATCGTGGTTCCATCCTGTTAGTATTTTCAAGATGAAGCTTAAACCTGTGGCTTAGTGACAAGCAAATTGATATGCAGGGGTTCTGGTAGTTTCATTTCACAGGAATAAGCTCCAGTTAAGTAATCGCTGTCAACTCAGACCTCGAAGTTCCCTAATTTCATTTTACCGAAGCTTTTGCATATGCGTCCACCAGAAATACATTAGAAATCCAAAATGCTGGCCACCTCTCTTTCCGATAGATTAGAAATTGTCCTGTCCTCTGCTTGCTCTTTAGTGTCGAGGACACTGTAAAAGGGTCACATCTGAACTTATGTGGAAGCAGGATGGTCTTGTTTCTGATTCAGATATTCTATTGCCCTCAAAGGGATTAAGGAGAGGGATTTCTGTTTCCCAGAGGAGTTACTGTTTAAAAACTGATTGTAAACTTACCTTAAAACTGCTTTTCACTTTATCAGACTTTCCATTCTTTTGTCTCTTCCTTTAGAGGGTGTCAGCAGTTAAGAATTCTATTATTTTGTTAAGCGGTTCCTAAGAGAGTTTTTGTAGGAGTGTCTGGGTGCTTAAACATTCTTGTTTTGATTTATGGATCCTTATTTCTTGACTCTTACGTAAGTTTCGCTATTTTTAATACAAATATTTTAAAAATCGGAATTCAGAGTGCTGTGTTATACTCTTCTGAGATGAACTATAGCAAAGCTGTCACCAACATTCTGAGTGCTGGGGATGTGACCGACAGTGAGCTAATAGGTGAACAATTGTGGTGGTCCCTGGCCCCTGAGCTGACAGCCCAGATAGGGGAAGGAGAGGAAAGCACATGAACTAGACTAGAATGGTGGCACAGCTGTATACACTCTGTCTTTGACCTCAGTGTTCTCTGCTTCAGCCAAGCCGATTGACTGAACACTCCAAGGTACAGTTCAAAATCCTGACATCTCCATTGCCCCGGCTCTTTAACTCTTGAAGTACTTGAGCGTCATGCCCTTGGTATAGGTTGCTTATGTTTACTTTTCCTTTGAGATATACGTTTCTTCTCACCCACTAGATCACTAGGTAAGATGGGAATTTCTCAAATGTAGAACAAGATATTTGGATTTCATCCTGAAGTCTTCGTAGTCCTCTTTCAAAATCAAACTCACCAGGGCTCACCATCGCAGTCTCCCCCTCCCTGTACCTACAGGCCCAGGGAGTTTGCTTTCCATTTCTTCTTAAAGTTGCTTTTACCTACTCTTTCTTGGAATTTGTTTCCTCCAAGGCTTGCTGTGGTATATAGGAAGCAGTCTGCCTCAGCTCCTTCTGGTTGTCCTTGAAAACAAGCCATAAGCCCCTTTCTTTGCAAAGGTTTCATTGTTGATCACCATGGAGAAATAAGTGATGACAAAAAGTAGCAAACACAAGAAACTTATGGAGATTTGATGTCCTTGGTCTGAGCCCCGGTGTCCAGAAACTTATTGTGAAAGGTGCTTGGTGCTTGTCCAAGATCATTAGGAAAGCTTTGTGTTGGCGACACTGCCCGATCTGGAGATACTTTTTTCAAGGCTTGGATGACTTGTTTAAAAGCGTGTTTTGGAGTACACCTCTGACCGTGGGGCTTTAAGAAGACCCCATTGGACTCTTGGGTTTAAGGAATAATTTCTTGAACTGGGATGGTGGGGATGGGGAAGAAGAGAGAACGTGAGCGGCACTTCAGAGTAAGGATGGAGAGAGAGGCTTCTGACTTGCTTCATGGACTCAGTTATCACGCTGCAGCCTTGACCTTGAGTGACTGAGGAAACGCTGGTATTATTATTGAAAATAAGGATTGGCATTGTTGGTTTGGAGCAGAAGATACAGTGAAGTTAGGTGGCACTATCCAGCAGGGAGCTGAAATGTGGGGGCTCAGATGTAGTTGTCTTTACTGCGGTGGGGCAGGGTCCTTCCTGTACGGTGTACACTCTGTCACAGGAAGTCCGAGATGCCGGCGCTATTCTTCAGCACTGGTGGTGTGGCCTTTTCTGCTTATTTCTACACAGTGTAACCAGTGGGGTCAGGTTAGTGCTGGGCTCCAAAGCGATTTACCCTTTAACATGGGCTGAGTATGAAAAATGTAGAGGCCTTATTCTGTGTGCTTGCTCTTGGAATAATTTCTGTGCATTTGCAAGTGTAGCCCACAGGAATTCTTCAGTGAACTAGAACCTTCAGGCTATTGAATTTGGCTGCATTGGGTACTGAAATGTGCTTTCAAAAAGACATTGTCTACAGTGTAGATTCTACACTTGCAGTGTAAATCATATTTGTGAATTTCCCCACATCTAGTATACTGTGTTCAGCTAAGTTGCTTTCAGGTCACAATTCATCTTCTATCCAAAATCTGGGAGCAGTGACCACTGTCACTGTCGGCATCACTGGCATTTCAGTGTGGAATCCTTTTCAACTTCCATTAAGTTTTTAGCTGTAGCAACAGTAAGTGAAGAGAGCTTTTTGGCGTCTACCCTGTGTTCACACGGAAGGTTTAGCATATTGCAGGAAAGGAGGGGTGAGCAAGGGATAAGAAAAGTCTAAGGCTGGGGTCGTGGCAGGGGGGTGGTGGTGGTAGTGTTAGAACAATCCTGGTTCTCGTGTGCTGGATGGCCTTACACCACAACTTCCTCCACAAACTCCCTACAGTAAGCCCTAGTGTTAGGAGTGCAGGAGGGTCCATGGGAAGAAAAATGCTGATAATTGGATTGGTCACATGGTTGTGGTTTGATATTCTTATACCTGGTGAAGCTGAGCAAACTTAAGCCATTTTTTTTTTTCCCTGTGGAAAATAGAAAAGCAAGCTGTTGTATGATTTCACTCAGCTTACTATTCTCCCGTCTGTTGAATCCATTAGAGTAACATTTAGTGGAGGAACCTATTTCAGGATCACACCCACGGCACTAGAGACCGTGTGTATTAATCATTTACGCACGCATAGGTATGGAGTAACCTTGAAAAGGCTATTGGCCACAGAGGATGCTTATTTGAAGAATTAGGGTCCGGCTCCGCCTGCTCGAGGAATTCAGAGGCCCGCCAGTAGAATGTTCTTTCTCCCCCTCAGAATATTCACTAGGGAGGGACTCAACTGCTGCAGAACCCCACAAGGCTTCAAATTCACTTCAAATTTGCCATGTTTTAAATGGCACAGAATTATTTTGTTCTAAGTTAATATTTATTGAAGGTAAGCATGGCCTTATGCTAGACTTTGCATTAATTTGGACCCAAACAGCAGGTGATACATTTATTTCCATCCTGTAAGTTACTTGACGATGTAAGAGACTTTAGTATGCTCCGGGCTTAGGGCCATATGGAAATTTGAGTTAAAGATTTTGGGGAAAAAACTGGATGTGAAGCCATTTATGTTGTACACTGGCTCCGTATTCACTTGAACCATTTCAAGTCTGAAAAAAATTCTTGCTGTGTGGATATGGCATCATGTAAGTATCTGGTAACTAAACTCAGGGGTCCTAGTGCAA